AAAATTACTCACAAGATGTCGGGAAGGGTCGGTAAGTGGAAAAACCCCCGATGAAGTGGTTACAAACCCGGGGGGGAGGCAACCTCTATACAAAATTTTTAAAATAGGTACACAAAAAACCACAAGTCTAAGAAAACCAAAATTTGGCAAGAAAAAATTATGAAAAAGGGGGTCGGAGCTAAGAATGCCCCCCGGCAACCATATAATAGGCAAGAAAACCACACAAACACAAATTTTAAAATTTTTAATATAAATATAAAAATATAAAATTTAGAGGTATTGGGTTTGGGTTAACAGCAACCCCCCGGGGAAATTACTACCGCCCTCCGGGATGACTGTGAAAAAAAAACCCTGAAACTGTTTTGCATGTTTGTAGGATTGCTGGTTTTTTTTTCGTTCTCATAAACCACGTTTAAATAACAGGGTTATCTTGCATTTTCCCTTTTTTACACTTTGGCCCACCCCTTCACAACACGCCATGCATATAAAATATACAAAACATTTTGGTTTTTCTCCTTTTTCAAATAGCTTTGTTCTTTTTTATTTTTTTCTATTGCCCAGGGGGGAAGTGGAAAAAAAATTTTTCCCCTCCGAAAACCCCTTCCCGTGTCGTATGAGGCGACTAAAATCCCGGGGGAGCAATGGCTTAGAAACCCCTTTTTTCCTGTAAAAAATTATTTAAAAAGAGAAGAAAAAAAACCTTTAAAAAAAACTGGGTTGCTTAAATGGCGGGGGAATGAGTGCGGATGAAAAAAAACAGATAAATTGCGGGTGTTTTTTAAAATAAAAAAGAATTGGATGTCCTGGCCCTAAGCGAAAAAAAGTTTGGAAGGGGGGTAGGAGATTTCGGGGGGGAAAAATAAAGGGGATTAAATCGGGAGTATCTAAAGGAGAGTTAGAGAAAAAGGAAAGGGGTAGCAGTAATGAAAAATTTGTTTTTTTAGGGAAAGGAGAAAAGAGAATAAATGTGTAAATTCAAGAATTATTTTTGGGAATTAAAAGTAAATTTTTGGATGCAAAGAAGGGGGTCATAAAAAACGTGATGAACCTGGAGAAGAGGGGAAATCCCGAGAGGAGAAGATTTTGGGGGGGATGTTAATTTTAATGTATGGGAAACCTTTTAAAAACCAAGTGAGAGGAAATTGTGGAGGGGATTTTAAAAGCTAAAGTGGGAGAAAAAATTTTAGAGGGGGGGTGTGGTGGGAAATTTTTTTGGGGTGCCGGGTTAAAGGGTAAGGGGGAGCCCTTTGTTTGAACTTTGTATAAAAAAGGGGTTTAGTTATAGGAAATTTAAATTTTTTTAAAAAAAAAGAGGAAAAAAAAATAACCCATTTTGTTTGGGGGCAAAATGACAGTATTTTTGTTGGATTATGTATTGGTAGATAAAGACGGGTTTAAAAGTAACTTCAGGATGTAAAATGTTTTTTTTTTAAAGGGGGGCCACAGATATATCAGATCACTTTCTAGTTTGTAGCAAACCCCGAGAGTAAAAGGTAAAAAGGGGATACAAGGAGAATGTAAATCAGGGAAGAGAGGGGGGAAAAAGGGTTTATAAACTAAAAGAGGAGGCAGTTGGGGTAAGATATAAAAAAAGCTATTGGGGGGAAATGATGGGTTTAGAGGGGCTTTAGGCAATGGGGTCGAAAAGGTAAGGGGGATGGTTTTTAAAAAAGTTTGTTTTGAGTGTTCAGCAGAAGTTTGTGGTTACAGGGAAAATGGGTGCAGGAGGGAAGGGGAGCATTGGGGAAGATGATGTAAAGAGAGTAAAAGGGAAAAAAGTTTTGCATATGAAAGTTTTTTCAAAGTAAAAGTGATCAAGGGGGAAAAAGGGGAAAAGTATATGGAGAAAAAAGAGAGAGGTTAAGGAGTGGTGAAGCAATGTAAAAAGAGAGCAAATAGAGGGGGGTGAGATGTTATCAAAAAATTTTTTTGAAAATAAAAAAAAAGTTTTGGAGTGAATTAACAAGGGTTAAGAAAGCCCAGAGAAAAAATTGATTTTAGTTTTTTTTTCCAAAAAAAGGAAGGAGAGTTTATTAAATGGGGAGTTAGAGGTAATTTGGGGAAAAATGGAAGGAAAAATTTTGAGGAATTGTTAAATGTTGATGAAAAAAAGGGAAGCTTTTGGGTTTTGTGTATTAAAGGGGAAGGAGGGAAAAACATCTTGTAGGGGGAGGGGAAAAGGGCCGGGTTTTGGGGTGTGGGGGAAGTTTCCCTGAGGCAGTTGGGAAAAAAAAAGGGGGTAAGGGAGCCGGGAAATTTATGGGGGTAAAAATAAAAATTTAAAAAAAACAGGGGGGGATATAATTTTGGGGGTGGTTGGGGGCAATTAAAATTTTTTAAATGTATGGGGAAAAGGGTAAGGTACCCAGGGGTTTGGGAGAGAGCAAGCTTGTTCCTTTGTTAAAAAGGGAAAGGGGATAAAAAAAAGTGCCCAAAATTTTTAGGGGGATAAGTCTGTTGAGTGTAACCTTTTAAAAATTTATGGTAGAGTTATAATTGAAAGAATTAAAAAGAAAAACGGAGAATAGGTTTGCAAATAACAAAGGGGGCTTTAGGAAAAGGTAGGGGGTGTGTGGACCAGGTTTTTACAGTAAACAATTTTAAATTTAAAGTTTTTTTAGATAAAGGGTAAAGAGGGCTTTGTGGCATTTATGGATTTTGGGAAAAAGGGGTAAAGACAGGGTGGGTAGGGGGGAAAAAATGTGGCCCGATTTTCAAGTGTTAAAGGGGTAGGAGGGGAGGTTACTGAAACATTTAAGAGTTTTTACGAGGATAGTGGGCTCAAGTTAGAGTATGTAGGAAAAAGGGAAAAATTTTTTCCCGTTAAAAAATAGGCCTTAGACAAGGATTGGGATGTCCCCGTGGTTTTAATTATTTATAGATGGGGTTGTAAGAGAAGAAAAAGCGAGGGTCTTGGAAGGGGTGGAGTTAAAAGATAAAGAATCAAACAAAAAAGTGGGAGGTTTTCACACTGCTCCCTTTTCTGAAGACACGTCTCTTTGGGGGAAATTTTGAAGAGTTGCAGAGAAATTTGGGGGATGGGAAATTTTGGTAGGGTGTGCAAAAGAAGAAAATTAAAGGTGAATACAGGAAAGAGTAAGGTTATGAGGATAACAAAAAGATTAGGTGATGAAAGATTGAATATCAGATTGGGAGGGAGAGAGTATGGAGGAGGTGAACGTATTCAGATATTTGGGAAGTGGACGTGTCAGCGGATGGGTCTATGAAAGATGAGGTGAATCATAGAATGATGAGGGAAAAAGAGTGAGTGGTGCACTTAGGAGTCTGTGGAGACAAAGAACTTTGTCCTTGGAGGCAAAGAGGGGAATGTATGAGAGTATAGTTTTTACCAACGCTCTTATATGGGTGTGAAGCGTGGGTGATGAATGTTGCAGCGAGGAGAAGGCTGGAGGCAGTGGAGATGTCATGTCTGAGGGCAATGTGTGGTGTGAATATAATGCAGAGAATTCGTAGTTTGGAAGTTAGGAGGAGGTGCGGGATTACCAAAAACTGTTGTCCAGAGGGCTGAGGAAGGGTTTTTTGAGGTGGTTCGGACATGTAGAGAGAATGGAGCGAAACAGAATGACTTCAAGAGTGTATCAGTCTGTAGTGGAAGGAAGGCGGGTAGGGGTCGGCCTAGGAAGGGTTGGAGGGAGGGGGTAAAGGAGGTTTTGTGTGCGAGGGGCTTGGACTTCCAGCAGGCATGGTGAGCGTGTTTGATAGGAGTGAATGGAGACAAATGGTTTTTAATACTTGACGTGCTGTTGGAGTGTGAGCAAAATAACATTTATGAAGGGATTCAGGGAAACCGGCAGGCCGACTTGAGTTCTGGGATGGGAAGTACAGTGCCTGCACTCTGAAGGAGGGGTGTTAATGTTGCAGTTTTAAAAACTGTAGTGTAAAGCACCCTTCTGGCAAGACAGTGAGGGGTGAATGGGGGTAAAAGTTTTTCTTTTTCGGCCCCTGCCTTGGTGGAATCGGCCGGTGTGATAAAAAAATAAAAAAAAAATTTATATTTTTAATATATATTATATATATTAATATAATATATATTATATATATAATATATATTAAATTTAATATGAGTGCGGTTAATGCAAGGGGGGGGAAAGGGGGGGCCTACCCAATCAATTTGGGGTCGTGGGCCCGGGTTTTTGGGTAAGTTTGGGCCCCCGTCCTTGTTTTTACGTCCTTAGTTCATGTTTAGAGACAGTCAAAAGGTGAGGGAAAAAGGGCCTTCATGAAGCATTTCGGTAATTTTATTGTTCCCCTTCTGTTTTGTGTTTTGTTGGTTAGTTTTTGGGATTTAACCTAACCTAACCTTACCTAACCTAACCTAACCCCAAACCCAACTAACCCAACCTAACCTAACCTAACCCAACCTAAAATTAAACCCAACCTAACTTAACCTAACCCAAAACCCAACCTAATCTAACCCCAACCAATTTTCCTAACCTAAACCTAACCTAAATAACCTAACCCTTTCCCAACCTAACCTTTCCCAAACCCAACTTACCTAACCTAATTAACCCAAACCCAACCTAACCCAACCTAACCTAACCCAAACCAAAATTAACCTAAACCAACTTAACAACCTAACCTAACCTAATCAACCCAACCTAACTTAACCTAACCCCAACCTAACCCAACCCAACCTAACTAACCTAATTAACCCAACCAACTTAACCCCTAACCTAACCTAACCCAACCCAACCTAACCCAACCTAACTTAACCTAACCCAACTTAAACCAACCTAACCTAATCTAAACCCAACCCAACTTCCTAACCTAAACCAACCCAACCTAACCTAACCCAACCTAACCTAACCAAACCCGTCTAAACCCAACCTAAAAGCAACCTAACTTAATACCTAACCCAACCTAACCTATCCTAACCTAACCTAAACTAACTTATCCTAGCCTAGCCTAACCTAACCTATCCTAACCTAACCTAGCCTAACCTAACCTAACCTAACCTAACCTAACTTTGTTTCCCAGGCCTGGAGAAACGATGCATTCCATACTCCAAGTTCAGAAACACCTGTGGCCAGAAATGTCGGTGTAGCCTGAGGGGGACCCAATACTGCAGCCTGGGCGAAACGTGCAACACCCGTAAGTGTGTAGTTTCCTGTGTGTAAACAAGGAAGGAAACACAATACCATGACAGGAACAATTCACACAAAATACATAATACCAACCTCCTCGCTGCAACATTAACAACCCATACTTCACACCCATACACGAGTGTTGGTATAACTATTCTCTCATACATTCCCCTCTTTGCTTCCATGGACGAAGTTCTTTGTCCCCACAGACTCCTCAGTGCACCACTCACCCTTTTTCCCCTCATCAGTTCTGTGAGTCACCTCATCTTTCACAGACTCACCTCCTCCAATTTGATATCCATATATATACATATAATATTTTATATATTTTATATATATATATATATTATATATTATTAATATTATATATATATATATATTATTAATATATATATATTAATATTATAATTATTAATATTATTGTTACTATGTTTTTTGATTCTTTATACACATTTCTGCTTGTTTTGTCTCAGTTTTCGAAGTGAACGGACAGCCGTGTGAGCCAGGAACGTACTTTATGAAGGACGACTGTAACTGGTGCTACTGTATGAATGGACTCGTTCAATGTAACAATTACAAGAGTACGACCACACCTGCGACAGGTGTGTACACTGCTGCTACTACTACTGTTACTACTACTGTTACAGCTACTACTTTTACTACTACTACTACTGTTACTACTACTGTTACTACTACTACTACTGTTACTACTACTGTTACTACTACTACTACTGTTACTACTACTTTTACTACTACTACTACTACTGTTACTACTACTGTTACTACTACTACTACTGTTACTACTACTGTTACTACTACTACTACTACTGTTACTACTACTGTTACTACTACTACTACTGTTACTACTACTGTTACTACTATATATATGTTACTACTACTGTTACTACTACTACTGTTACTACTACTGTTACTACTACTACTACTGTTACTACTACTGTTACTACTACTACTACTGTTACTCCTACTGTCGTAGGGGTTCTTAAAAGGAGATATCGAGGGTTGAAGATAGACACACTTGTTGGATGGTAACGCTATATTGTCAGACTGTGGTAATGGGAGATGGAGCCCCGCCTTGCCGTGTTCTAGCCTGGATGTCTATGCGCCGACTGAGAAGGAGGCAGAGGTACGAACGTACACATGCGCATCCCGTGACGTCACACAAACAGTCACAGGCCTAAAAGGGATCTTCTATATAAACACATGGATGGTACTATGATATGCTATACAACGCATATAAGGGGATCAGCAACTATGCTGACAGCTCGGTCATGTTACGTATGTCGTCTCGACATACACTACTATCCTATAGGCTGAACAGGCAGGTGGTTCTGGGCTGATTCTATACAATAACAAATTCATATATAACTTAGAACTAATGGATGGTATCATAATGGATGTTAACAAAATGAGTTTTACGTAATGGGTGTTAACGTAATCACTTTTAACGTAATGAGTTTTAACGTAATGCATTACAAACTATAAGAACAAATCATTGTACAATATGGATGGAATTGATCGATCGATCTGTATTCATGCACTCTATGAATTCTGAGGAAGAATAAATATATATATACAAGGTGAAATTAACAGCAAAGGCATCTGGTGCGCACTTAGATAATTACTGTCAAATTCTCAGAACACGGAGGGAACGTGAATACGAAAAAAAAAAAATTCTGAAAAACTAATCAGTTAATAACAAACAGTTGACAATTTACTTCATCTCGGACATCTAGTTATACAGACTATGTATATTTAACCCAATTCTGCGAGGGTGAGGTTTACATATGCAGAATGGTTATCATCTCTGGGAGGATCAAATTCCTCTGCAATGGCTAACACATGCCTTGACTGAGGGAGATCTGAACGAGCATCTACAAAAGATACTTGTGGGTTTCTCATTACTTGTCGAGTACGCAAGGAGTAACGACATTCAGGTTGATTATCTGATGAGTATCTGAGGTAGAGGGTACAGAGTCAAGAGGATTTTCAGCATCTGTCACATTAGTCTGGGTAGCAATATCATCAACATCGCATACTAACTTCATATGATCTAAATGCGATTCTTTGTACTTACCAGTACTAATTTCTCTAACCTTATACTTATTGCCAGAGATATGTTCTACAACTCGATAAGGTCCGACAAACTTTTGATCGAGCTTAGGCATTGCGGATGTTTTGTTGAAATTTGTCAGCATTACTCTTGAACCTACTTTAACTTTTGATGGCTTAGCACGGCTATTAGTTACTCTAGTAAATTCTGCTGTTGATTTATGAAGTGTTTCACGGATTCTTCTAAAAACACTTTGAGCCATGCTTGTACGAGTTGCTACGAAATCATCAGGGTTGTAATTGGGTTTCGGAGTGGAATATAACAACTCATAGGGTAAACGCTTGTCTACACCATACAATGCATAATGTGGAGTATCACCTATGGAAGCATTGTAAGCAGAATTTATGGCACATTGAACATCTGGTATAACTTCATCTCAAGTTTCACTATTGGGGTTGATAGTGGCTCTCAGGACATCAAGTACTTTCTTATTGGTTCGTTCGGCTATCCCAATGCTGGCAGGATGATGAGGAACAATGGAGGATTTAGAGATCTTGTACAAAGTACACAAATTTTCAAGAATCTCATTACAGAATTCACCTCCATTATCTGTTACTAAGGACTTAGGGGTGGTATGCCTGCAGATAATGCGTTCTTTAAACGCTTTAGCTACTGTCTCAGCAGTCTTATCTGCAATAGGAACTAACTCACAATATCTGGTGAAATGGTCTACCATAACACACAGATGTTTGTTGCCTTGGAGGGAACATTTAAAATTGGTTACAAAATCAAGGGCAACTCTTTCCCACGGTTCGCTAGTGGTTGGGTACACTTGGATTGGATTAGGACCATTGACATTTCCTTTATGTTGCATACAAACACTACATTTCTTAACATACTCTGAAATGTCAATTGCCATACGTGGCCAAAAGTATTTCATTCTGGCTTGTTTCACAGAACGATCCATACCAGGGTGTGCAACACCTGGTGCATCATGAACTAGCTGTAGAGCTACGTTCACTAGTGACTGTGGAATTACTAACTGGTAAACTCTTCTACTTGGAGTACCCAACTCGGCTGTTCGATACAGTAATTCCTGGCTCATTACAAAGTCACTAATGGGTGCTGGTGGCTTCACAGTCAGAATAAGATCTTCCTGGAGCAGGAATCGAATCACACCAGACCACATGGGATCTGTTCTTTGGGCATTTTTGACATCCTCAACAGTAAATGGAGGATCTGCAGTAACTACACTAACTTGTCGCGATAAAGCATCTGCGACTACATTTGACTTGCCAGGTAAATGTTCAAAAGTGGGATTGAACTCTTGGATAGTCAAGGTCTATCTGGCTAACCTTCCAGTAGGTTGTTTGTTCTGGAATAAAGGTATCAGTGGATCGTGGTCTGTCAAGACATGAACATGGGGGTACTGGTAAATAATGTCTCGGAAGTGCTTTAAAGACCATACTATTGCTAAAGCTTCTTGCTCCGTTACTGTATAATTACGTTCAGCCTTCGTAAGGACTCGGCTAGCAAATGCAACTGCGTTGTACTTGCCATCGGTCTTCTGAGCTAGTACGGCACCTATGCCAATGGAACTAGCATCAGTTGTTAGATAGAAAGGCTTAGAAAAATCTGGGAATTTCAAAATTGGAGCAGATGTTAGCTTTTCTTTTAGAGTTTGGAATGCTCTTTCTTGACGGAAGGTCCAAACAAAAGGAGCATCTTTCTTAAGCAATTCAGTTAGTGGAGCTGCTATTGAAGAAAAATTTGCAATGAAAGATCTGTAGAAACCTGCTAGACCCACAAAGGATCTTACGGCATCAGCAGTTTTGGGAGTTGGAAAATTTAGTACTGCAGTTACTTTACTTTGGTCAGTCGTAACCCCTCTAGGAGTGACTACGTGACTAAGAAACTTAATTTCTGATCTGAAAAATTGACATTTAGACAGTTTGATCTTTAAATTGGCTTCTTCAAGCTTACCAAGTACTACATCAAGTCTTATCAGGTGTGTATCCACATCTTCGGACATGACGATTACGTCGTCTAAGTACACCATAAGTGCGTTACCTATAAGACCTCTAAAGATGTTGGTCATGAGTCTAGAGAACGTGATAGGTGAGGATCGTAATCCAAAAGCCATTCGAAGGAAGTGATAACGACCTGTGGGAGTAGAGAATGCAGTTAACTCTTGGCTGTCCTCGTGAAGAGGGACTTGCCAAAACCCTTGTAACAAAACGTTGGAAATATTTACACACACACACACACACACACACACACAAAACCCCAAAGTGTCAATCCACAAGAGCCTTTGATATGCACTTCAGCTAAAAATTCCTCTTAAGACTTGATAAATCTGCATTGAGAGCCACACGTGCTCTATAGATAAAGACTGGCTCTATACAACCTATCTATCCCCCCATTTAGGAGTCAAAGATACGTAAACACTCCCGTTTACAAGCTATTAACAATTTGTAAATAGAATTTACAAAACTGTAAACGTTTCGCTTCCGGTATACTCTGAAGACACTTGTTGTAGGATACGTTTCTCTTGGAGAAACATTTCGCTCATTTACAGCTTCATCAGGTCACGTTTCCCTCTAAGTAGAGCTTATTTTTACGTGACTTGATTGAGCTCGACACAGAGTCAAAATAATAATAATAATAATAATAATAATTAATAATAATAATAATAATAATAATAATAATAATAATAATAATAATAATAATAATAATAATAATCTTTATTTCTACAAAGTACATGATAAAATTTATACGAATTTAATATCAATGTTTTTCCAAAAATATCGAGTCGCTTGAACCCTTATACAATGTGCGGCTTTATTTTAGAGCCGGTCATCTGTTTCCTCGACCATGTCTAATAAGACATATATCTTATTAGACACGTATCTAATACATGTCTAATACATGTATGTCTCATTAGACACGTGTCTAATACATGTATGTCTTATTGGGCACATGTCTAATACATGTATGTCTTATTGGGCACGTGTCTGATACATGTATGTCTTATTGGGCACGTGTCTAATACATGTATGTCTCATTAGACACGTGTCTAATACATGTATGTCTCATTAGACACGTGTCTAATACATGTATGTTCCATTAGACACGTGTCTAATACATGTATGTCCCATTAGACATGTGTCTAATACACGTACGTCTCATTGGACACGTGTCTAATACATGTATGTCTCATTAGACAGGTGTCTAATACATGTATGTCTCATTAGACAGGTGTCTAATACATGTATGTCTCATTAGACAGGTGTCTAATACATGTACGTCTCATTGGACACGTGTCTAATACATGTATGTCTCATTAGACAGGTGTCTAATACATGTATGTCTCATTAGACAGGTGTCTAATACATGTATGTCTCATTAGACAGGTGTCTAATACGTGTATGTCTCATTAGACAGGTGTCTAATACGTGTATGTCTCATTAGACACGTGTCTAATACATGTATGTCTCATTAGACAGGTGTCTAATACGTGTATGTCTCATT